TTCCTGCTGGTATAAGCGACGCTTTCTTTAGCGTCCAACACGGTGAAGAGTTGAAGCGAATATGTGGCACCAGGCGTGAGATCACGTAGTGTGTAGGGCACCGAATCGACGGGGATGACGGTGGTCTTGGGATTTCCGGTATCGCTGAAGCTCTGCGTCCGCAACCGGAAACCGGAATAATTCCCCTGAGCCGGAGGCGACCAATATACGATCGCGGTCTTCCCATTTCGTACCGATACCGTCAAGTTTGATGGAGGATCGGGTGCTAGCGAATTAAATTATATTAATTGACTCTCCAGAGAGACTCATAGCAAATCAAACTGTTCGTTGTTCGTTTATCTTTGCGTTTGTAATTATAATTGTTCAAACGTTTAATTTAAAAATTCATCGAAACTGTACATTAAGATAGACTGTATATAAAACAGTTTATCTTAATAATTTTAAATAATAATAGCTATGAAAGTATAAATAGTTTATATTTTTTTAAAAGGCGCACTATCAAAAATCGCGTTAATAGGATCAGATTACATACGTGTCGTAATTGACGCAGTCCACGTCAGCCAATCGTGTAGAGTGCTGTTGCTGTAGTACAGCCAGTACTCGTATCTCGTCCCAGGCAGGCCGTCCCTGAACTTTATGACATCACCGATGTCAGTGGCGGCTATGGTGGTGTTCGGCGGTGGAGAGCCAACGGGTGGGCTGTAATCCAAACGGTACCAGGAACCACCCTGGCTCAGATTGCCTGGTATCTCAATCGCGAGATCAGCCGAGTACGTGACCTGAAGTGAAACACAGAAAACCGCTATTAATTCTCATGCTTGTATCATCATTTGTATAATTAATAACTCCTTGGCGTTAACAATGTGTTTAGCAACCTAATTATTATATTATAGACAGCATAAAATGTTTATTAAAAGAGTACTAATTTTATTTACAAAAAATAGTTTTTGTTGACTCTGCAAATTATTTCATTTCAAAAAATTGATTTCTTATTCCGTCATCAAATTATAATAATATACGTTTGTTAGAACTTTTATCAACAAATTAAATTTTCTTTTGTTGCGAGATAATGTTTCTATGAACAAACTTACACAGCAGAATTTTTCTATTTTATCAAGAAAATAAATTTCGTTGCAATATCAAATAATTGGTAAAAAAAAATTTAATTGTTTTTACATATTAAATATAAACTAGCAATAACGGTTCTGTGACAGCAAGTTTCCTTTCCTCCGTGTATATATATATATATATATATATATATATGTGAGTTATTAATATATAATTTTTAATAGATACACATGCGTACATGTAAATTAATTATATAGAGCAATGTATAAAGAGACTCGATTACGTTTGAATAGAATTGGATTATGCAGTATCCTTATGCAACAATCTGGTTCTATGAGAATATGCGTATACATCTAACTGTTTCGGACTCATCTTGACTCTTGTATGCTTTTACTGGCTTCGGCACGCAATGTCGTGACCGTGAGTCGTGGGTCAAACTCGTGTTAGTAAGGACCCGTTATAAATCAGCAGTGTATCTTGAATTTCAAGACTTTGGCGTTCTTAAAGTTAATAAAGAAAGAGAGTCATTTATAGTATCATCGATCCCTCATCTATTTTTATTTCCAATATAAAGCTTCCGAAGAAGCAAGAAATTTGTACGCTCTTGTATAGTAACGATTAATCAGACTCTCGTCTGATTCTTGCGTGATATCGTGATTCTCACAGTGTGAAACGACTCTAAGTTTATGGACGACTTTTAACGAGGCCCACGACCTCCGTTCAGCGCTTCGCTTTCTCCATCGCGAAATATTGGCCATTAACTTGCGAATGCACGTCCAATCCCCCGTACCAAACATTTTTGTTCATTTCTTTTAATCGTGTGTTTACAGCCACGTGCGTTTAGTTACTAAAACGTTTCTCAGATAAAAAATTTTGAAACTCTTTCAGACTGACATTTTGACGTTCTTCAACAAAAAACAAGTTTTTTAATTAAATTTTATTAAACTTATGACATTAATATTTGAAATTCTTAAAAATTTTGAAAACCCTTCAAATTGACGTGTTGACCTTCTTCAACAAAAAACAAGTTTTTTAATTAAATTTTATTAAATTTATGACATAATATGATGTAATATTTTTACGAAACTTTTATAAATCAGAGAAAAATTCGTTCGTATTGATGTCAGGAATGTCTCAGTTATAAAAGATCGAAGTAATAGTTATGGGAAATCGTGCAAACGGTATATTGATTTTAATACTCATAGCTATGAATTCTTATGTACAGACAGTATATGTTCACGACAAGTACACTGGGAAGCAATGCGTTCCCAGACATGAGAAAGATTGCAAACCTATAATGCTGCCGCTGACATGTAATAGAGAGCTCTCTGCAGCTGATGTCCAATATACCAAGCCATTCAATACTCAATAGGAAAATTTTATTTGTAAGAAAAAATACCGTTAATGAAAATTCTTAAGACAGCATTTCTTTTATTAAATATTGAATCCCACAAATTAAACGCAAGTCAATCTGTGATATACGTCGAATATAAAAAAGAGTAATCAAATCTCCATTAAAATTGTCAAAGGATCAAATTACCAACCATTAATATCTATTTATGACAATCAGCGTGACAGGAAAATTGTTTGAGGTATGAAAAAGGAAAATATAATAATTATAAATTATTTAATTTCTCAATAAGTCTTAAAATATAATTTTATATCTAATCTTATTAACATTAATTATATACATGTCAATAATTTTATACACAAAAATTCAAAAGCAACATTGAGTGGGTTATTGATGAATATTTCAATATCCATTCGGATATATAAATATCTAAAGTGACGAAATCGCTTTTTCTACGAAACCGTTCGTGAGACAGTGAGGTGCGTATTAATCCCTGTTCCATCTCCTTCTATCACATCGTTTCTTTTTCCACCTTCTCTTCGTTTCTCTCAATCGAATCTCTCACAGGCGGCCTATCCCTCGTGTCTGACGATATACGGACGACGACAAAAATTCTTAATTGTAGAAAGAAGGCACAAATAGCATGCCGACTTGTCAGAGATAATCAGAAAATACGTAGCTGAGGCACGCGAGAATTTCGTTTGCCTCATGCTTTGAAAGGTATAAATTCATTTCGTGGTTGAAGATATTTGCCGCGCGATGGACGCGATAGTTAAACGCGGCTTGCTGAGAACGTGATAATTTACGCTGTGCATTTTGCAAAAAGCCTGAAAGAATTTAGTAAACAGAAATTTAATGATCTACCGTGGTATAAAAAATATGTTTGAATTTTTTAGCAAAAATACCTTTTGTATTTGCAAATAGAATCCTCGCGTTGGCGTTTAAAAGGTATTTAAAATAGATTTATTTCGATTTTAAAAAAATTTATATAATTAGTAAGCAAGGATTAATTTTTAATCTATATAGCAAATCTATATAATTCGAGAATAAAAATAATTTACAAGTGTAATTATATATTATGATTGAATTACATGACACATTATATCGCAATGCAAAATATGCATGACTTTATTTCATCACAGATATCTATTTGTTTCGAATTTTTTAAATAATGTTAGATTAATCACGTAGCTGTATTACGCACAGTTTTAACTAAGTAAATCATGTTGAAATAAAAAAGACTGCATTCTAGTAGTATCCATATCACGTATATCAAAAATACGCAACATTTTTTCTACACACAGCCACGTTAAGTTTCAAAGTAGATTTTTATCTTCTCTATCACATTTTATTGGAAAATTAGAATTATGGTATTTATATCATGTATGTCACCCTACAAAAATACCTCGCGATATTTCTTTCTGCATAACTCCGTACCGTACTAACTTGTCTTTCTGCATAACTACGTCCAGTAATTTTTTATCTTCCCTACCATGTTTTACTGGAAAGTTTGAGCTATAGTATTCGTGTCATGTATGTCGCTCCAAAAATATCTCGGTATTTCTTTTTTATACATAGCCGCGTCCAATAAAGCAACTTTCATTCTTTTTGCCATAATTTCGATGTACACTACCAGTATTGAAAAAAAATGTATAGTATAAGTACATAGCGTAAACTATACATTTTTATTACTGACGATATATATCAAGACATAATCTACATTTTATTGGTTTGATTTAAGTAGCGTGATGGCTTATCGTTTCCAGTCGAGATTTTGAAAGTAGAAAGTAGCGTCCAGCCATCCACTTTCCGTGAAGTATAAACGGATCTCAATTGCATGTTTGAAGGAAGTCTAGCGCGCACTTCACTTCCGGCTGACCGTTGTCACGTGCCTAGCGTATTTCCGACCTTGCGAGCGGTTTTCGTTCACGTTCAATGTAGTACATGGAAGTAGGTGGAAGAGGTGGAAGTAACGTGTCTGTAGTATCAACGTTCGTGACACTTTGCAGCCGATATATGTCGTCCGTCACTCTTTCTTATTCGCTTTGGTATCCTGTTATTAGAATATTAAACAAGTTTTGCTCCCTTTTTTTAAAACTGATATCGACCGAATTAATTCAAGTGTCCTAAATTCGTCCATGTATGGTAAGTTAAGTTGCTTTCAAAAATCTTCTTATAAAACGATTTTTCTATGTTAACGTTTGATCGAAAAAGAAGCTTTCTCTTCTTTATATAAAATATTATTTCGAAAATAATGAAATGATTTTTTTTTTAACGAGTTATTTAAGAGATCTCATATAAGATAATATTGATTTCAATAAAATAAGTATAGCAAGCATGATGAATCATGATTACTTGTCATCCGGTGCATTATGTCGACATCGGAATTGACTGATTGTATCCTCTACCACATTCGTATTATTCGATATAACGCATTACCTTTGTCGGTATCGTCATTTCCTCTTCTCTCGAAAAGTTTTTGTTAGCAAAAATTATTTGCGAAGCTATTAAACCAATATTACCTACTAGTGTAGTGAGAGGATAATAATATAGGAATATAAGAGATTCTCAGGTCTATGCCCTCGACTTTGCTTTGTTTCCCGGGAGTAAAGCGAGATAAATTTTTGTTGGAAATTCCATTTGTATAACTATTTTACGCATTAACTACGTATTGCAGACTCGTCAATATAGCACGACGGGAATCCGATATTTCCTTTGTTTGTCACAGACTAGGAAGGTATCAAACGTAGAATTGTGTTGAACGCATTCTGGTACACGAACGAATTCCGAATTCGTAAATAAGTGAGACCATGCTCGTGCATAGAATGTAGAAATAAAAGAATGAATCTCAGAAAAAAATCCAAATTTAAACGTAAGTAAACAACACTGGGAACACAATAAAATAAACGTCCTGAAATTGTCTTTAACTAGCTTAAGAATAATGCCTTTTTATGAACTACAAAGTTAACAGCAGCATATCATTATTTTCGAAATAATATTTCGTACATAAAATTCTTCTTATTTGCTAATTTTACAAAATTGATAAATATAAGAGATGTGTGCTATTATTTCCTCCATGTTTTCGTTACGATTGCACTTAGGAAAACATCCAATGTATCGTAAATCCAGCGATCGTTTTATTTATAAAGAGAATAAAGAAAGGCACTCGTTTCAAATATACACTCGGGAGATTCTAAGTAGCTCGCGTGCTTCGCCATTTTTACCCCTTGCAAAACCTGTTGCACGACCTTGTTCGATTCGTGTACGATGGCCTTCCCTTTCTTCCCTTTTAGTCGCTATTTAGTTTCCTTATGTCTGTTTTTAAACAATTATGTATTTATCTTTTTAAAATCTGTTGGA